GTCACGACTACTAGTGTGGTCCAGCACACAGAAACTATGTAAACATATACATAGGCAAGAAAAGGAAAATAAAAGGACAGAGCATAAACCGGACCTTAGAATGGCCGGACTAATACGCTAGAGACAGAGAATGGTCAATGGGAAAGCCGAGGTTGAGGAAGCCAGAAAATACACAATACCGTTTACACAAGCCAAGTCAGGGAAACCAGAATTCAGAATAACCAGGGAAAAGCCAAGATCAGGATACCAGGAAATCAGATTCACAAAGATAAAGCACTCTCAGGAAACCAGGAACAGGAAACCACGACAGGGCAAGGTGCCGGTCGGGCACAGCTGTGCCACGCGGTGGGCTGGCAGCCGCGACAGTTCCCCCCCCTCGAAGACCGCCCACCGGGCGGGAAGGACCCGGATTGAGGGGAAAGCGGTTGTGAAACGACCGGACAAGACAGGGCGCATGAACCCGGTCAGCAGGAACCCAACAACGTTCCTCATGGCCATACCCCTTCCAGTCAACAAGATAGGACAAGATACCTCTTGTCATTTTGGAGTCCATTATAGAACGAACTTCGTACTCCTGCTGGTCACCCACTACCAAGGGCGGAGGAGGAGTGGACACTCTAGTGTATCGATTGCAAGTATGGGCAGGAAGTGCCAAGGAATAGGTCACTGGATTAATACGTCGAATGATTCAAAAAGGACCGAGGGGCAAATTTCATGGAAGGAACCTTAAGTTTGATATGGCGTGTGGATAACCACACCTTGTCACCATTAATTGTTCATGGATTTTCAAATTACGTTTTGCAGCTCTGTCTTGAAATTTACATTTCTGCAAATCACTCTGTGAGGATACATTTTCAGTATCTGTTGGTTCTGGGATTAGATTCTGTGCCTGTATTTTTCTTGTATTAACACACACTTGCTTTACTTCATTTCTAAGCTGGCAAATAAGATAATTTCTTAGTTCAACTCTATCCTCTAGTTCACAGACTGTTTCTGACAATCTCTCAAAGTTACAGCATGTACGCTTTGTTACTTTGTTACACTGTTCATTTAAATCTGATTTGTCTTCTGTTAACCCATTCAAATCTATTTTATTTTATAATAATAATCAATATATGTGCTAACTGTGTTACTAATATATTTATATTTAATCATAAATTAGTAATTGGTTTAGATTATTGTGTTTATAAATTAGGGTAGTGAGAAAAATTAATGTTCAGAATGAAATAAGAAAAAATAATACATATTAAATAAATAATTAGATAAATAAATATATAAAAAATTATATAAATATTTTTTATATATTTATTTATCTAATTATTTATTTAATATGTATTTTTTCTTATTTCATTCTGAACTTTAATTTTTCTCACTACCCTAATTTATAAACACAATAATCTAAGCCAATTACTAATTTATGATTAAATATAAATATATTAGTAACACATATATTGATTATTATTAATCATAATTTATTTAGATTGGAAATCCATTGAATACACTTGCACCAATTCAAATAAACACAATTGCACATTTGCACAAATTTGTTTTAATGTATTTATTTATATATCTATGTATGCACTTTAAGGACACTGATTAAAGATTTGTCGGAGAATTATGTTTACAGAATATATACATTGAGGAGGACTGTGAACTTTGTAACCCATGGAAACAGGAAGTGATGCGACGGCACTTGCGGCCGCGTTACACTGAATTCCGGACCGGAAAAAACGGAAGTTACGATTAACCCGCAAAACATCATGGACCTGGTAGTTCAAAACAACCGGAATTGACGCGACGGAACTCCGGTCGCGCCATACACTCACACCGGATTGGACAACAAAGAAAACTGGCGGGAAATTCAAGCTTTTTAAGGATGGAGAAACAGAGACTGTTTGAAGCTGACTGAGGAAGCCGTTTTTTATCGGCGAAACACGTTTTGGCTCTTAAAGTGAACCCATATATATTTTTTTTAGGTCACATACTTTTATATTGTATTGTTCTTTTACTGTTTTTTATTTTCTAGACATACCAGTGTATTTTTCTTAATATTACTTTATAATAAATTGTTCCCATTTTTTATTCACCTACTGTATCCTGTATAAGTTAATCAAAGGGAGGGGCAGTGTCACCCCACAATTTGACACTAGGCAAAAATACTTAGAGCCGGTTACCAAAGGCTCTAAATAAGGTGAGCGTTTCTATTTTTACTTATATGGACATCACTTCCATTTTGAGATGCTACACCTATTATAAAATATCTGTGTCTTTTATATATTTGGTGGAGAATATTCATATCTTCCTCAAGAGAGAGGGGTCGTGTGATCTACCCAAAAAGACACAGACGCGCAGAAGTTTAGAGCCTAATACTAGAAAAGGCTCTAACAAATGTCAGTGTATACATATATTCACCTATTCACCGATCGCTCCATTTAAAGACATATTACACTATTATCTGTATATGTTCTTTCTGTTCTTCTTTTTTATGTACCAATTGTATCAAGAGAAACGATAAAGGGTAAGAGTTCCAAGATCCAGTGAACGCACTTACCTAGCACTAATATAGTGCTGCACTCACTTAAGGAACTTTAGATTTGGATGGTGGCAACATCATCCAAACCAAAAGTTTTTCTGTGTTTTGGTGATTGTCTATGTGTGGTGGGTAATAAGGAGTACCCACAGAGTGTATACAGCAGCTGTACTATATATTTTTCTATTTACAACAGAAAGCGCCATTTATTCCACACTTTTTCGTGTATATTCAATTCCTTGGACTCAGGAAATGCTTAATGCTTAAGACAACAATTAAGACCATATATGTCTAGTTCCGGGAGCAGATAACCCCCACCTGAGCTGTCTCTTCTAAATCAGTCTGTTCTTTCTCTTTCTCAAAACTTATCTGTTTTATGTACATGACGTTCATCCCTATGTCTTATCTGTACTCCTTTCACTCCCTTCCTACTACTGTCCTATAAGTATTTGCACATAAGCACTTACTTTTTAATGTATAAAAATCCAACTGAAGAATAAACGTCAGAGGCTTATTTTGAATGCCAACAGGTGTCTGGTCTCTAATTCACGCTCCTCCAAGTGCACTTGAAATAACAATTTGGGCTACCTTGAATATAACACAGATCACATTGGATCTACATCAAACTGGACCTTGTCATGGGTTCTTGGAGGGGCATACTTGCCAGCCTCTTACCCTGTGACAATGGCCCCTGCAATAGACCTGGCTAAAATACTTTAAACAGGCTCTGTTTGTGCAATTGGGACTATATGGTTCATTTACTGAACAGCCGCACGAACAGGAGACCACTCTGGAGCTTGTTAAGCTTAATTGATATATTGTTGCAATTTCCACCGCAGTGGTCTTAGTGCTCATCTGGGTGGCCGCAATTTCTGTGGACGACCACGAGGTGGTGGCCATCTTGTTGTCATGGACCAAAACCGCAAATAGACTTCAGGGGGATTTAGCCATGAATGCCCTGGAACTATTTTTGGCATGAAAACTTTGCGGTTCCCGGTCGGTCCTCCAATGGCACTTAGCCGCGATTCTATGGAACTATTTTCGGCTATGGGACCATGCCTGCGGTCAGTTAAATAAATGACTTCCAGGAAATTCCTGAACCCCTTAACTGATCTGGGTGATTTTTGGATATGTTGGTCACCCAGATCAGGACTATCAGGGGATGTAACGTTTGAGGGGTTTTATGTATTTGTGGGGGGTTTCTTCCTGGAGATAATTGAATTGATACAGTATCTAACTCCATTATCTCCCAGGCAGAGAGGAGGGATTGTATGTTTGTTATGGGAGTGTTGTGCATTTAATCACTGTTCTTATTGGTCTGTGTCTTGGTGTTGCAGTCCCCAACAAGGTCCATGTGGGTGTACACCTTGCATGAGGATTGTCATAAAAGGCCGGTGTGGCTACCATTAAAGCAGTTCCTCTTCACCTATATTCATTATACTTCCCTTGCTTCTAATCACTTGCTCTTTTAAGAGCAGCCTGCTACACTCTCTGGAGTAGGAGAGGTTCACCCACTGGAAGCTGGATCCTGGTCTTGGGTCCAGGGTGAGTGAAGGACGGCGAGACCCCAACCAAGCTGCGGTGGTTTATGGGGTATACGGTGCTGATGGTGTCTAGTGGAGTGCTTGGAGTCCTCTGTAAGCACTAGGAGCATCGATTGCCAGACGCACCCGGTCGGGGTGCCAGGCGGTCCGTCACACCAAGGTATTGCAAATGGGATATGTCTTTTTTAGTAGCCACTTAGTCACAAACACTGGCCAAAGTTATTGTTAATATTTGTTTGTGTGTGAAAAATGCAAAAAACTAATTTGAACGCCAATTTTGGCCAGTTTGTTATATTTTGTTGTCTATCGTCGTGGGATCATAGGCTTTTTGTATAAATTCTGGTTTAATATCTTTAGTTTGTGTGTAATAGGTAGATTTATTTAAACAATTATTTCTACAGAGTCTCATTATTTGGCTTTTTGGAATGCCATTTAGCCACACAGGATTATAACAACTGTCTTTAATGATACAAGTGTTTGTATGTACTTTTTTAAAGTGTGTTTTCTTGAGGAGGATGATCTAAAAAAGTTACTGATTGACTACTAAAATCTGCAGTTAAAATAATACCTTTGTTATTGTTATTTAAATGGTTAACAAAATCTTTGGCAGCAGACATAGATCCCTTCCAAATAAATAGGAGGTAATCGATATATGTAAAATAGCAAACCAGATTCGCAACCCAGCCAGGCCCTTCCCACACTGTTCTATCTTCCCATTCTGCCACGAAGAGGTTGGCATAGCGGGGTGCACACCTGGTGCCCATGGTCGTGCCATTTGTTTGTAAATAATTATTTTTTTATTTAATTAAATCTATCCCTTCTATTATAAAATCAAATTTCTTCTTCTTTGTATTTCTCTAGCATAGTTCTTACAGTTTAAATGCCTTTATCTTGAGGAATAATCATAAATAGTGATTTAACATCACATGGAAAGTAATTATGACCGGCTAAAGCGCACCACTCTAAAAGATTTATTGGAGAGCCGTGGGGGAACTGCCAGCAACCGACACAGGAGGGAGCTGATTGCGGAGCTAACCAAGCTTGATCAAAGCTTCACCGTGGCAGAACCACGGGTTCCTCCCAGAGATGAAAAGACTAGGATTGTAAGGGAGAAGCTATTACTGTTCGGGCCAAATCCCTCAGAGGAAAGGATAATACAAATAATGGCCTACATAGATGCAGAAATACAAGCAGCCAAGGAGTACGAAATCCGCAGGATAACTATCAGCACTCCCCAGAGCCAGCTATAGCACCACCGACTCCCATTACCACCGGGAAGAAAAAGGTCCCTTCGCAGCTTTCAAACTGTTCCAAGAAGCCAAAGGGGGAATTGACGAATACCTAGTGGATTTCAAACGCCAGTGTCCATCAGATACCACCGATATCAATATGCAGATCGAGAAGAATGTTCTTCAAAATATAAAAACAATACATAGTGCTTTCTGTATACATATAAAAACACATAGGACACCAAAAGATTAAAACTCACTCAGTAAAGAGCTGTATCAGGCAAAATCCTTGCAGCAAAAAAGTAGGTAATAAGGATATAATCTTTATGAATTCCTCATACTGACTGGGCTGAAATTTCACTGAAAAAACAATGTAATTTAAAGATGGTAGTCTCTACTTTGTCTTATGAACAAACCTGAGGTTGTCAAAAGTTGACAAAAGGTGGAGCTTCTCACCATCAACCTTCATTAAATCCCAGCGGCTGTTGCAAACTATGTCTGTGTGAATTTTCAAAATTTCACTAAGATAGAAAGTCATGACTGTCAACTTTATAATATCTTACAAACAGTCTCTGCATGAAAAAAACTTTATAAGCCATAGCACCCTAGATGTCTACGCCAGCCAGATTCAGAATCCATCAAAACCATGTCTCTAATGATATAGAATAAACTGGTTTATTAGGCTTTGGAAAAGATACAAATAAAGGTTCCGCTGTATTAGAATGTAAACCTGAAGTTCTCAATTCATATACTTTAATACAACTAACAGGACATAATTAAGATCAGTCAAGAAATGCAGGATAAAAACCAAACTTACAAACCCACGCCCCAAAAAAAATGTAAGTCCATGAGGAGTATAGTTAGGAGACCCGAATCCAAAACGCTAATTTCACTGACCCTTATAAAAAGATATTAAACAAAATATCTTTTTTAAATATAATATGTCTGAGTCATTTTGCAGACAATTGATGGCCAGCATTCTAAACCGTTAAGGAGTAACATCCCACGTTTCAGAGTTTTTAGGTTTTGGAGGTCTAGACTATTTAATACCTTTCTTTAAATGACAAATGGAAGGATGAGCACCAACTCATACATTGTCACAATAGAAATGACCAGAAGAAATAGCATAATGGTAAGTATTGATTGCACTATATGCTTTCCCTTGCTCAAAAAGCAGAGTTAGGAATGAAAAACAGGAACTTGCAGGGGCAGAAGCAGGATGCAATGGTCTTTCCATTCATTGATTTCTTTTAATGTCCCTAGATCAACCAGACCATGAGACATAAAGAATTCCCCAGAAGAGATGGGAATGGATATATGAGGTGAGGAATGTCCATCGACGTCTTCAGTATTTGAGGGAACCTTGACTGGCATTGGAAGAATGGAGTTATCAGGACCAGGTCTGTTTTGTGTTCCTAAACATGACAGAGAGTTATCGGAAAATGATGGAAAGCGTAATTCCGAATGTGACAAAGTGCCCTTCGCCACTTGTACCTGGAGAGGACTAATTGCCAGCCTCCTGCCCTGCGACTATGGCCCCTTGAAGATTTTGCCCTTTAGATAAGTTATTTGGGCATAGTGGATTTTATTAGACTGGTTCTGGCCCTTTAAATGCTCTGACAAAGGATCTGCAGTTTTGCTTTGCACTTCGGATGCAGAGTGTGAAGAAAAAAAACCCTGTTTTATGGACTTAGTTTGACTGTTTTATTCCTCCCCCCCCCCTGTTCTTAGAGCACCAGCTTAAACTCTTAATACCCGTCATATATTCAAACTCTGTCTGACCCTTATAACTGTCAGTTTGTTTTCCTCTGAGGAGGAGTTGTTTTGCTGTATGAGTGCTGTTGCGTTTGTGTGCTCATTAAACAGACCCGCTTATCCCTTTCTTGAAGCCTTGGCTCATGCTTGGGGGATGGGATAAGTCTGCAGTGCTGATGGTGTCGGTTGGAGTGCTTGAAGTCCTCGGCAAGCACTAGGAGCATCGATTGGCGGAGGTACTCGGTCGGAGAGCCAGCGGGTCCGTCACACTGACCTTATGGCAAAACTTGCCGAAAAGCATCAGTTACTAAAGCATCTGGGTTTGGCCGCCAAATGTAGAATTTTGTCATTTGGGAATTGAGAGGGAAGGCACTTTGATTTTCAGGAAAATTGCCCAGACCAGCCACCAAAATATTGAGAATAACCGGCCACAACAGAATTTGCCACACCCAGTAAATGTTCTGCCTGAATAGAAAGATTGTATTTTAAGCAAAATTGCCAACATTTCTTGGCCATATCTGATAACGTTTTTGATTTCTCACCACCTAGATTGTTGATTTAATGAACCACTGTCAAAATATTAATGATTTATTTTACTTTTGATCCTGACAGTGTTAATTTAATGGAGTTTAATTCAAAGTCTATTTCTTGATGGCTCTAGAAGGGATTTCTTTCAGTTTTTTAGAAAACCTAAATTAGTTTTAAGGTTGATAGCCCACCGAATATGATCTTTTAAGGAAGAAAGATTACTAAAATGTTGTCTAAGTATTTTTTCATGCAAATGCCAATTTATCTTAAAAAAAAGATGTACTTAATTGTTTATTTGTTTTGTAAAGCACCATGGGACTGACAACAAGACAAATGTTAGGTAAGTGAACTGCTATTTCTCCAGCAGAAATAGATTGCCGATATAAACTGGATATTTTTTTGGCATCATCTTTCTTTTTTCTTTCTTAGTTCTGAAATCTCTTGGCCTAAAACAGAAATTTATTTGGAGAAAAATGCTATTTACCTTGGTAAATTAATTGCATTGGGTTTTGATTAATTCTGTTTGATAACCTTGAACAGTTTGAAGAACCGATGCATCTGTTATGTTATTAAGATCCCCAGCTCCACCTTTAGTGTGCTCAAAAAACATAAGGACTTATACTAAGGTTGTCTTGATCCTGAAGCACCTCTGGAACTTCTCCTCCTCCAGTAATGTACATGTTAAGAAAAGAAGTTGGAGAGGAATGTTGGATCTTTTGATTGACTACTTTGTTAAAAGAAGCCTCAACTTGAGTAAAGCAAGCTTGTGAAAAACTGGCCTGACAAACGACTCCAAATTCTGCTGGTCTTGGAAAAAATGTTTGGGTTAAAAACTTTTTTTTAACAAACATAGTGAACACAGTGAACATATAACATAAGTACCATGCTCCTTGCTAGTAAGGGAGTTGGCCAGTTTGTCTGAGGGAATAGACTCTTCTATTGAATCGAGCATTTTTGTTAATGGTCCCAACACATCGAGGACTCCTGGGAAGATTTAAGATCTTGTCTAACTCAATTTCATATGGTGCTAGATGAAGGCACAATTCTAAGTGCCAAATCACACGTCGGGTTCCTTATTTCTTTAAATATCACTATGGGCACACATTTTTATCACTTTACTTTGTTTTGGTGATGGACTTTGATTTATAGGAGCTACATTTAGGTGATAGACTCACTAGGGTAAATTAGCTAATTTTGGTCTTTGCTGAGCCTGGATCTTTTTTAGCATAAGGGAAAGTTTTTGTTGAGTGTATAGTCTATTGAGGGCTTTATTATTTGTCTTATTTAAACCTTCTGGATATAACGTATGAGAGCCATTAGATAATATATATCTCTAAGCTGCATTTGAAGGATCTTTGCTTAGTGTGCTTGGTTTTTACTACCCCAAACTATGATTCTAACCTCTATTATTTGGTCATTATGTGCATTCCATTTAATACAATATTCATGTCCGATTTTGGAATGAATTAAGGTTTGTGAAGGGCTTGTAGAAGGGATTTAGTCTAATGCAATTTCACCTGCTTTTTAAGAGAGGCTTAGTGTTCAGCATTAGCCCAGCTTGAGTTATGGAGCTAGAAGTTCTAATGCACTTTAATAATCACTGCTTTCCAATTGTTTCATCTAATTGTACAATCTAAATATCTTTGCTCTCAAATTACTTATCCCTAGAGTTTTGGAACCTCCTTTGGCTTCATTTATATACCAATGCAAAGGGAGTCTCATAGTTCACCTTTCTATCAATAGATTTAAATACATGGGAAATATATCATCAATCAAATCTTTCAATTGTTCTATGGATATATGAGACAGCTCATGGTTTCAAGTGGTATTTGACTATCATGAATTTTTAATCAATTAACTAATAAAGTTTATGTAAGTTTTATTGGTGAGGGTTTATAACTTCTGCTTTCCCAAAAGGAAGTATTGCTTTCATGGGGAGTCTGAGGCCAAATATATATATTTTTTTAATTCAAATGCTGTCTCCTGATCTGAGTCAGATATTTCAAAATGTTTCCGTAGGCTTCAGGAAAGCAATATTTTGATTTTCCTAAGGCCTTTTTGCCAACTTGAAGAGTTTTTCGCACTTTGAGATCAAGGCCATCTTTAATTCGAGGCAAACAGGGCAGCTGCCCCGGGCCCAGTTACTCTTGGGGGCCCAAAGCAGCTGACCCGGACCCCAGCCCGCAACCAGCGCCCGAAGTCCACCAGGATACTGGGAAATTTCCCAGTGGGCTGCGGTAGGTGAGGAAATCACCTCCTAACATTACTCCAGACAGGGTCCCTGTCATTTTGCCTGCTGGGAAGAAGCAAGGTAAGATCACTTCCTCCCAAGTAACAGAGCGCCGCGTGTGAAGGAGGAGGAAGCACACACAGGAGGAGGACAGGGACTGAGGAAGCCTGGTTCCGTAGACTACCATCAGTCTTGGCCATTGAGCTCTTACTAGACCCCAGGGAAGCCACCCTTCTGTACCCAAAAGGTAAGGAGACAGGAGGGTGGCTATAATGTGTAAATTGATACTTATGTGTGTGTAACTGGGTCTGAGTCAGTGTGTGTATCTGTCTGTGTGTGTCAGTGTCTGTATATCTGACTGACTGTATGTGTGTGTGTCTGTATCTGTCTGTCTCTGTGTGTGTGTGTGTGTGTGTGTGTGTGTGTGTATATCTGATTGTGTATATCTGACTGTGTGTCTGTCAGTGTGTGTATCTGGCTGTGTGTGTGTGTGTGTGTACCTGGCTGTGTATATATGGCTGTGTATGTCCGTGTGTGTATCTGGCTGTATGTGTAGCTGTGTATACAGATACAGATCTGTGTGAATGTATACCTGTGTGTCAGTGTGCCTGTGTCTGTGTATGTGAATCTGTATATGTGTGTTTCTGAGTGTGTGTATATATATGTGTCAGTGTGTGTAAGTGTGTATCTCCACGCATCGCAGTGCATTTATCCCAACATTCCAAGATTATAGGAGGGGGAGAAGATTACAGGGAGGGAGGGGGGGAGAAGATTATAGGAGGGGGAGAAGATTACAGGAGGAGGGGAGGGAGAAGGTTACAGGGAGGGAGTGGAGAAGGACAGGGAGGGGGGGGAGAAGATTACAGGAGGGAGGGGGGGAGTGGAGAAGGTTACAGGGAGGGAGGGAGAAGTACAGTGAGGGGGGGAGTGGAGAAGGTTACAGGGGGGAGAAGATTACAGTGAGGGGGAGTGGAGAAGGTTACAGGAGGGGGGGAGAAGATTACAGGAGGGAGGAGGGGGGGAGTGGAGAAGATTGGAGGGGGGAGAAGAAAAGATTACAGGGGAGAAGAAGAAGATTACAGGGAGGGAGAAGGAGATTACAGGGAGAAGATTACAGGGAGGGGGGAGAAGAAGAGAAGATTACAGGGGGGAGAAGAAGAGGAGAACACGGGGAGGGGGAATAAGAGGAGAACACGGGGGTGGGAGATGAGAACGTAGGGGAGGGAGAGACCACTAAAGGAGGGAGGGGGCGGTGGAGAGACCACTAGGGGAGGGGTGTGAGGAGAGACCGCTAAAAGGAGGGGGGTGGAGGATAGACCACTAGGGGAGGGTGGGGGGAGAGGAGAGACCACTAATGGAAAGTCAGGGAGAAAAGGAGACCACTAAGGGAGGTGGGGGGGAGAGGAGAGACCACTAAGGGGCAGGGGAGATCTCTAAGGAATGGAAGGGAGAGCTCTATAGGACAGGGGGACAGGGAGCTCTTTCACACCACGCGCACACACACACACACAATGCATCCCTATACACACAGAAACACAACATGCTTCCCTTACACACAGAGAAACACACAATGCAACCCTTACACATAAAGACAATGCATCCTTTGCACATATACACAGAAACACACAATGCATCCCTTACACACACATGCAAACACACACTGCTTCTCTTACACACACACAGAAACACAATGCATCTCTTACACACACTCAACGCACCCCTTACAGACACACACACTGCATCCCTTACATACACAGAAACACACTTTGCATCCCTTATGCATACAAACACAGATTCACACAATGCATCCCTTACACACAACAAGAAACACACAATACATCCCTTATACACAAACACTCACTGCTTTCTATCCCTTACACAAAAACACACTGCTTCCACTACACACAAACACACTGCATCACCTACACAAACTGGTATCCCTATACACTACAT